AGAGAGAGAGAGAGAGAGAGAGACGTAGGAAATGTCACGGAAGACGGGAGAGACGATTGCGCGACAGATAAAACATTGGAAAATAAGTAGAGAAGACTAGGCAACAGCCTAGAAAGGGGAACGCGGTAATTGTTGAAAGAGGCAAAGGAATGGACGCTGCGTAATCGACTGTGTAATCTTAGAAAAGTGGACTGGCTGACATTTTCAATGAACAACGTCGTCGTAGTTCATTTTCTTCGTTGTTCGTCATTGGACGAAGCTGGCAATCGCCCGAATGGTAATCGTTCGCGCGACGATCCTCATAGGAACCAGCCGAACACGAAGAACGAGAGAAAACCGGGAGAAAGTGAGATCAATGCCGTTGTTAACATTGCAACGCTGCCACATGCTATTCCGCTTCCTTCGAGCGCACGACGAAGTTTCGCGAGGGGGATCTCGCGTCTACGTGAATGCGGCGATCTAGGTCGGCGCACGATGGTGTCGTGGAAGTCACGAAGGAAGGGAACCGGACGAATTCCAATGACCGAGGTGTAGCTCGGCCGCCCTCGGAGATCGAACCGCCTCTCCGATCAATGGGGAACAGCCGACATTGATTTCCACCCATTTGACCGACTCAGCTGCGCACCTTTTTTTTCTCTTTCTCTTTTTTTTTTTTTTTCTTTCTTTCCTCCTCTCCTCTTATTCGATGAATGAACCTCGAACACGGGCCAGAGAACCTCGTTATACGAGGCGGAACGCCGTTGCTTGGAGATTAATTAAGCGTCACCGATCGTTAGGCCGAGTTCGAAGTTGTTTTTGCTACCCGATCGATTGGAAAATGCCTTGGGAGGGCAGGCATTTCCCGGAAATGATTCTCAGGGACGCGGCACCTGAAATATCTGTTTTTTTTTTTCACGGCGGAGCCCCCTTTCCACTTGATTTCACTCGCGTCGAGGTGAATCTCTCGCCCTCACACCTTCACGAAAACCATCGGGGGAAATTCACTCTCTCGGTGATTGGCAATTGCAAATTGTAACTGTACTCGCGATACAGCGGGCAACGCGCAGAGTTTGAGGAATTTTCAGACTCTCGACCAAAGTCGGGAAAGAGAGCGAGCTGGATACTTTGAAAATGCTGGAGCAAGCAAGCTGAGTCTATTCTGTAGAAACTCGAGAAAAAAATGAAATAAGAAATCTCAACGTTCAACCCTTTGCACTCCAAGATTTTTTCCTTCAGCTAGCTACCTATTACTCTAAAGTAACTTTCATTCTTAAACCTGAATATG